TAAAAAGGAAAAAGGAACTCCGGAGTGTTTAGGGAAGGGCTTGGGGGTGGGATGGGTGGCTTTTCCAGGCAACTTGTAAACAGCTCCCTGCTGGTTTCATCTTGATCCCCCACTGTGGAACTCCAAAGAGGCTACTTCCTGTGTGACTAACCACCTTGGCTGGGCTCCCTAGGCCAGCAATGCAGCCAGTGTTAGTTTCAGATCCAGCAGATGTGGATTCAAATCCCAGTTTGGACTTACTAAGTGGCTTTGGATCACGTGACTTCATCTTGCTGCACCTCCTTTTTCCTCATCTGTAACACAGGAGTGATATGAGTGCAGCCCTCTGGGCCACTGCACTGATCCTGTGAAGATGGCGTGTGCCAGGCGTTCGGTGTAGAGCTTCCCACTGGAAAGTGGCCTGAGGGTGACATTCAGGGAAGCCTTCACTAATCCCTTTTGGATTTACAGTGTCATAGAAACCTGCTTCATTCCTGCATAGAGACCCCCTGTTTGTTCTCCTGTGCTCTGCTGGCCTGCTGACTTGACCAGTTTCTTTCTCCTCCAAGGTCTGAAAACTGCAGGCAAATGGGAGGATGTCTTGTTTCACTAAACACTCTATCCCCAGGGCATAGCATATGGCTGGGACTCAGCGATTATTTACCAAATGAATGAATGGAGACAGAGTCCTTCATTATTTGGGATTCCCTGGGGCTCTATGGAAGAATATTTGCTCCCCATTCATAAACACAAATTCATAAACATTCATTCACATGAATCTGAGGGATTTCCAATGGGGTCTTCCAAAGTAGGGCTATGATAGGAGTCCTCTTCAGCATCCAGCTGCATTAGTTAGGTTAGGCTGTGCTGTGCTGTGCTGCAGTAACAGAGAGTCCCAGCACCTCGTTTCAGAGATCTAACATCACACAAATGTGTTCCTCACTCAGGTGAAGGCCAGTATGAGTCCTGTGACTGTCACAGTCAGTTGCTCTCTTTGTAGTGACTCAACAGCATCTCATGAGCTGCCAGCTTCACACCACGCCTTTGTGGTCTCTGCAGGATCACACACCAGTCCCTTCTGCACCCTGCCCACAGGCCAGCACCAGTCAAGTGCCCCTCCCTACCTTGGGGATGGGGGATAGGAAATATTGGGTCATGTGAAGATATTCAGCAAGCGGACTCTGCACCACACACAGGAAGGTCTCTGACTTCTTGGCTGGCCTCATGGGTCTGGGGTTAGCTAAATGCATTTTGAAGACATGGAAAGCAAGCTCCCAGCTAATGAGACTGCTTTCAAAAACTAGGTATTTATCAGGGAAGAAACAATCAGTTATCACAAATCCTGCCATGAAAGCTGGGTCCCATAAAACATCGCATGATGTTCTCAGCCTGCATTTTCTCAACCATCGCGACCCCGAGAAACCTCCGTCTCCAAACACCACGACCATCTCTCACTCTGGCTGAACTACATTTCAGTGGCTTCATTTTGATAAGAATCAATCAAAGGTCGCTGTCAGAGGCAGGACTCCTAATTCAAGGACACTGATAATTAAATAAACCAGGAAGATAAAAATCTTTTGATGAGATAAAAATCCTTAAAAGCTTTTAGTTTGACTAAATTTTTAGTAGGACTCCTAATTTTTCCCCCTGCTTCTTTGGAGGTACCCGGATGGACTTTGTTTTTAAGTGCCAGCTCTAAGTCACTCCATTTAAAGGGGTGGGTGGGAGGGAGGAGACTGAGCCAGCGTGGGCAAAAGCATTGTATATTCATGAGGAGAGAGCATTTTGTGCAGGCAGGCAACATATGATTCGTGCTCTCCCCAGGCGAGAAGACTCAAAGAATGCGGGCAGTGTCCCTCTGGACATACAGCCTTTCCTTTGCTGAGACGTTTCAGGATGACCCTAAAGTCTTTCACATTTAAAAAAAAAATTGCTTTTGTTGTTTCCTTCTCCCTGGGGTGGAGACAAGGGGAGCCTCCAGGGGATCAAGTCTGGTGCCTGCTTAGCCATAATATTTTGCCTTTTGTGTCTTCCCATTGAAGAGTTCCGTCTTAAGATCTTATTCCACGTCCTCCACCACTCTACCTCCGTAGTCTGTCTTTGCCACCCAGCAAACATTGCACATACTAGCTGATGGCTCCACTAAAAATTTATCTCCCCACATACTAAAAATTTATCTCCCCACCTGCTGGTGGGGAGATAACAGGTTCTCCACTGGAAGCTTCCAGAAAGGGCCAGCTGACCTAAGGTTGACAACCCAGCTAACTTCCAGCATCATCCAGGGAGCTGTAGAAGGAATCCATGCTTGGGCTGCACACCCAAGCTTCCTGTCCTCATTGGGCCTGGGTGGAGCCCTGAGCATGGATAACTTCACAAAGTTCATGCACAATTACGCGGCCAGGACTGAGAGCCCCAAGCCTAAGCTTTCTGTCCAGGGCAAAAGTGATGAAAATCAAATTACACTAGAAATGAAATGGGGAGACTATAGAAGATGACACCATTCAGAAGAAAGAACAAGGTATGGAAGGAGTTGATCCTTTTACTGGGGGTCCTGGGAAAACATACATACAGCAAATATTGACAACTACAGAATCACTCACTCTGCTGTGGGAAAGGAAGTTTGGTGATGGCAGAGTACCCGGGGCGACCCCCCTCTTAAGAAATGGACTCACCTTCCTTTTATTCCAAAGACACTGGGCATGACTCCTAAGAGACCACAGCTAACATCTGTTCAGCACTTCTCAGCTTCAAGTGCACCACTCTTGTTCTCCCAATAAACCTATAAAAAGGAGGGACTATCATCCTCATTTTGCAAATGAGACAAGTTAACTGACTTGTCCAGAAGATTCTGCCAGCAAATGGTAGTACCGGGACTCCCATCCTAATATTTATGGAGCACTAACTATATACGACAACTTAGGCAAGTATAAATTATATAATTATGGAATTATAAATTCCCTAATTCTCACTTCCTCGACACAGTCTTCTGCTATTTATTCCTAGCTTTTCTGTGGCAGAATCTTATTTACCTGTGAACACCCTGTCCTTCCTTCATATTTTGCTCAGAGCAGCTGCATGGTATGTGCCTGGCTCATCCCCAGCTTCTCTTGCAGCTAGGTCACGTGATGGTGTTCTGGCCAATGAGATTTAAGAGGAAGTCTACTGCATCCCTTAACCCATTCTCCAAGTCTATAAGAGCCATTGTGGGCTCTTTGCATGGTGAGGTTAAAGATAAAAGTAAAAATATCCAGAACTGCAGAGCCAAAAAATGCCTGACTTATCCCTGAATTGCTGGCTGCCTACCTCTAGACTGCTGGCTGACGAGGAAACATTCCCTACTTTTTTAAAGACTTTGTAGGTTTTTATAAACTGTGGTTTCCTACAACCCCTTTATTATTATTGTTCTTTTCCTCTGCTATTGAACATGCTGACCTCCAGCTAAACCCCCAGCTGGGTGAAGACATTGAAACTTCCGTGGATGGGGGCCTCCCCGGTGGCACAGCGGTTGAGCGCTGGGTTGCAAAGCTGCCTGCGGCCTCGGCAGCGCCGGTTCAATCCCCGGCTGCTCCCCAGCCACCAGAGGAGGGTCCCGCATGGCGCGCAGACCTCTCCTGCCGCCCGCTGCTCCCCTCAGCAGTGTGCTTCGGTCCTTCTGCCTGCTCTGCTCCCTGCTCTGGCTCTGGTGAATTCTCTTACCCTCCCGCGCTTCTGACTGTACCCAGTGCATGTATAAACAAAACAAACAAATAAATAAATAAAACATGCCTCTATTTAAAAAAAAAAAAAAAGAAAAATGAAACTTCCGTGGATGGAAGTTTAGGTAGTTGGGCGCACCAAATCCAGTCTGAAATGCACCACCTTTGAGACTTGGGGCATTTGTCACCTGAATCAGCACTTTCTTTTCCCAGCTTCCATTTGTTTTTACAAGATAAGGGCAAATGCACGAACACAGCCAAACAGCTGCATAAACACAGCCCAGAGATGGCCACACAGCCACAACCAGCCTTGATGGCGGGCCTGTACTCCTGCCCTTAATACACCCCTCTGTACCTCCACAGATGAGGGAAACCTGGATTCGCTCTGGGGAAGGGGTTTTGGGGTGTCAGCCAAACACTTGCATTAAAGCATGGCTGTTGAAAGTCAAACATCAGACTCGGGGAGCTCCATGTTCACTCCAGCCACATTCCCAAGTGCAAGATTTTTTTCTGAGCTTCCAAATCAGTTAACTATCACAGAGCAACCAGCTGCCACTAACTTAGTAGTTTAAGATGCTAAGTGTCTGTTATGCCCAGAGTGTATGGGCCAGCTGGGTGGTCCGCCACACTGGACTCACTCCACTGTACCCGTCAGTCGTCAAGTGGGTTGTGGGGGAGACCGGGTGCAGCCCAGGGCTTAAGATGCGCCAAGCGCTTTGCAAGTCACTTAATCCTCAATCACTCCCAGAGGGAGGTTCTAGTACTAGTCCCATTTTACAGATGAGGGAATTGGGGTTCAGAGACGATTAGGTGAGTTCCAGAGATGCAAGATTTGAAGACAGGTCCTTGGGAGCTAAAGCGCTGGGCCTAACCATGGCATTGTCCTGTCTCCAGAGTGACCTGTCTCTGCCCAGGCCTGGACCACTGTAGCTTCTGTGACTTCCAGCCTGGTGATTCCAGCCAATATTTTCTGTAAAGAGGCAGAGTGTATTTTCAGCATTGAGTAAACAGTGTTCTCCCGCTTCCTAACTGGTCTTTGCCACTGGAGTCTCTTTCCTCCTGCCCACGTCCACTTTGCAACCAAACCAAAAAGCTCCTTTCACCTCCAGGCTTGGTGCATTCTTCTCTGGCCCAGCCCCCCTCACCCAGCAGATTCTGCCTATCTGATTTCAACTTAGATGCCACTTCTTCCAAGCAGCCCTCCCAGACTGAGTTGCTTTCAGAACCCTCCCCCCACCGAACACCCACACACTGTATGGAAACGGCTTCTTTAATTGCCTGCCTCCCACAATTAGTTTGTAAGCTCATGAGAGACCATATCTGCCGGGGCCATCTCTGTGTGTGTCCTCAACCCCCAGAGCAGCAATCACTCAATAGCTGCTTGTTGACAACCAAATCTAACACACCCCACCGCCTCTCCCCTGGGCAAAGGGGAACCTGTGGCTGCAGGTTCTCCTCAACTTGCACTTGGCTCCAAGGCTTTGAAGAGTCCTACGCGGTCTCCCAGATTCCATCTCTCACTAAGCCTGGTGGGTTTTCCTATTAGCCAATGTTTACCCTTTTGAGAAGGCCGGAGGGTCTAAGAGATTTCTGGGCAAAATTCTTGAGCTATAAAATTAGCCACAGGCCAAGACTTGAATTGTGTTTGGGGTGGTGTGTGGGAGTGGAGAATTTAAGGGGGGAAGGCAGGCATGGAGGTGGCAGGCAGAGAGTAAGGGGGCAGGAGCAGAAGGTTCTAGGCCAGGAAATAGATCAAAGGCTGGGCCCCAGGCAGCAGGCGCAAGGAGCCGTGAACTGGCTTGTCTCCCTCCTGTGTCCAGAGTCAAGCCCCTGTCAACAGTTGCCCCCAGCTGCTGCACATCCTGACGCTGAGAGGAGGCAGGGGTTACGTAAGGAAGCCGCAGCCAGGGCAGCCACCAGCGGCCCTCCACGAAGACAAGAGGCCTCCCCAAATCTCACCATCAGTCCAGAGGTTTCTAAAAGTTCCTTTATTAGTAAAGCAAGTACAAAAGAACAAGGTCCCTGAATGACCCATGTGATTAAAAAGTGCAAATTTACTCCAACCTGAAACAGAAATGGACAGGAGGCCTCAGCTGTCAGGGCCCAGGAAACCCGGTACAATGAGAACACCTTGGAATCACACAACTGTAGCAGCCAAACCAGACTGGATGAACTCTTTGGTCTCCGTTATTAGAACAAAATAAACCCTGTGACGTCAGCGACAGACCACATGATACTACACAGTTTGGGGGTCAAAGTACCTGTTAAAAATAGCAATAAAATAAGAGGAATGTTTTAAAATCAAGGACTGAATCAAGGCACTTTTATTTTTTGACATGAAATGTGCTAAAAGCATCTCTGATACCTCAAGGTGCAGATGATGAATCCTTAGGTTGCCCATTTCAGTCTATTCTCTGTTTCTGTCACCCTCCCCCACCTATACTTGCTTTATCTGCACCAGATCAGGTGCTATGTAGACAGAAAAAAATGAACAGTAGTGTGTAAGTAATAGATAGCCGATTTTTAAAAAATTAACAAACACCACGATGATAACACTGAACTCAGTTCCCTCTCAAGGCACATTGGATGTGTTGATGAAGTAACAGCCTACCCCCTGTGGGTACAGAGGTGAGGTTGCCATTATCAAGGTCAAAAGCCACATTTTGCAACAAAAGTCACTTACCCCTTGAGGTTAAAAGAGATGCTTTGGAAGTGTGCTGGGGTAACGCCTTTGGAAAGCCAGCATGTCTATGTCGGTGGAAGCCACAGAGTCAGAAAGTGCTTGGAACATCTGAAAAGAGTGTTTTTGGCTCCCAGACCCAGCATGGTTTTCCTGGGTTCAATCCCACCAGCCACCACTGCTAGGGCACTGGTTAGGATACTACTAAGAAACTTTTAAAAAAATGAAATACAAATGAAAAACAAGTTATTCTGCAATCTTTCCTGATTACTCATCGGCAAACTCCGACAGGGCCAAGGAGTTTGGCCCCAATTCACCAGGAAGGAAATGCCAAGCATTGATGACTTGATCTGACTCTCACAGAAGGTTCCAGACGGGAGAGTCCTTCAGAAACTGAGTTGTGTTATCTGTGGACATGTTAAATTTTTTTTGGTTTGTTGTTACAATAAAGCTTAGCTCTGAGAGATAAAGAAGACTTAAAATACCACACCCCAACTATGTATAACAGCTCCTACCCTTAATAAATATCGCGTTATAAATACTTGGGGGGAGGTTAACTGTGTAAGGAAGGGGTTGCAAACTGGTAGCCCCCAGGCTCAAAAAAAGTTTTGTCTGGCCCACATGATGCTTTGAACAGTTAAAAATTACTCTAAGAACTTTTAAAAAAGTTCGTTTTTCTGCCCCTTCCTCCCCCTTTTCCCTGCTTGGAGCCCAGGCCTGGCTGTACCCCTTAACACAGGCACAGCCACCAGGCACACCCACCCCGCCCTTGTTCACCTCCCTTCCTTGCCTCTGCGGGCTGCTGAGTTTGCTGACCCCTCCTTTGAAAGAGCACAAATCTAAAAACGTGTTTCCTAACCCAAACCTCTCTCACACCCTCATGATTTCCATTCCAGCCTCCTTCTTGTCCTCCCTTCCTTCTATTTCCATCTTAACTCCTCCTTCCTGAATTCTTCAGACCTCTCCGGGTTCGCTTGCTGTCTCCTTTCTTTCGGCTTCAGTTTCATTTTGCAAAAAAAAAAAAAAAATAATAATAATAATAATAATAAAATCTTCTCTCAGCTCACGAACATTCCAGGACGGCTCCCCAGACCAGTCAGTGGGAGTCACTGAAGGGTGTCTGGGGCAAAATGGCTGAGTCATCGACCCAAAAACATTTTTTTGTGGGTACTGGCTGGACAATTTACCTGTTGTAGTTTTTTTTAAATATGAGTAATTTTGAGCCTTCTTGTGAAAGAATATTGCATATGTGAATCTCCAGTACCAAGTATACACCAAAAATGTGTACATTTCAGATCAAGGCAATGATGGGGCCCTAATAAAATACAGGATTGCTCTTAATAAGTGCCTCGGGCACCCATCATACCCGGCAAATACACCGTATTATTTCATTTGTACACAGTACATGTTTTGGATGACTAAATATTGATCAAAATTGATCGAAATCATTAGGTTTTGGTTACCACGTGCAGAGAACAATTGTTCAGCATGGCATTTAAATAAAACATTCATATTTTAAAAATTCACAAACACAATGCCCCAGCAATTAAAAAAAATAAAATTTAAAAATCTTGAGGATGGAAGAGATTTGGGGAAATTAACCTAAAAAAATAATAATAAACCTACAAGAATAGCCTGTTACCAGATTTAAACTTCAATATACAATTAAGATTAAAAAAGAACCTATCAAACTAGCCAGAAATATTTGGAAAATTCAGCTTTTAAAGCTTTATAACCCTACTCTAGCCTTGCTGCGCCCCACTCCAGCAGACTGAATGACTCCCGGAAATGGTGGCTGAGTATAGAAACATTATATACACATATAAAGATCTACTTATCCTTGGCACTTATTTTTAAAATAACTTTGATAAACACTGTGCAGTTTAGATCTTTGCAGGAAGTGGGTTGAATGATCCCCTTGCTAAATTCTGTACCTCATGACCTAACAGTGACCTCAAGAACTAGAATGACTTTCGTGGCCTCAAGGTGAATTGTTCCCAACACAGCCTCAAAGACACAGCACAACTGGCAAATGCCCGAGGCCGCCTGCAGAAAAGTCTCTAGGTCCCAAGAGAAGATTCCCTGGAAATCATCTATTCACAATCATTTCCTGGAGTGCCCAAGGAGGTCCCCTAAAGAAAAAAGTTTATAGTGTTCCTCAAAATAGCTCAGAAATTAAAACAATGGCCTTATTCACATAGCCAATGCTATGTCCAGGGCTTACCTTTAAGAGTCTAAGGACGTACATGTTTTTTGTTTAAAAAATACAATCCCAAAGTGTAACCCTGGGAGCGGCTGCATTTCCTATTAGTCGAATGGAGAGAGGATCGCTGTAAACTTCAGCTGAGTTTTAAGTGGACTGGCACAGTGGAAGGCTGTCGGGAATTTGGGGGGTTTAGGAGGGATGTCAGAATGGCTTCTGGCAGCAGAACATCCCAACCTGGTGGTATTTATGTCCAAAGAGAAAAAAGAGCTCCACCTCTTTCTCCTCTGCTGGCTGATTGGGGAGTAACTGATCTTCCAGCAGAGCGCCCAAGACACCGAGCTACAAGGGAAATGCTTTCCAAGACCTGCATCTGACTCGACCAACCGCTCCTCAAAGTCGGCCTCTTAGGACCATTTACAGGTCACTGGGGCAACGGGACAGACACTTTCCACTCGTGATGATTGCTCATTGACCTGAGAGCGCTAACTACATGCCAGGTGCTGCAGCAGCATTTCCTCTTCATTATCTCATTAAGTGCAGAAAGAATTCCCCATGCACAGGAGTTTGCTTAAAAGCCTTAAACCAGAACAGGTTTGTACCCAGCCAGCAGCAAGCCCTGGAGAAACCTCTCAAGCAGCAAAGACTGAAATAGAGCTTTCTCCGGATCCGCCATGTTTTACCCCCGAGCCAGGGTCTTAAACAAATGTTTTGTTGCTACTCTGCTCTGTGCCTGGCTCGCAGTAGGTGCTCAATGAGTGGGAGCTGACTGGTTCACATCCCTGCTGGCGCCTGGAAAAGCATGAAGCAAGCCCCCTTTTCAAGACTGCACATTGCCTAATAATCAATGCAACCGGCCTCCCTTTCAGATGCGCTACTCGGCACAAGCAATTATCATGAAATGAAAGATTTGATCAAAATAAAGTACTATTTGTGCTGGAAGTTTCTCTAACAAATTCTTGATTGCCTCTCAGCAGGTGGGACTTAATTCTTCCCCATCCTGTCAATCACCTGTGATTGCACCACTTAAAAAAATACATTAATATTAATCTGAATGGTGGGAACTATGCTTCTCAGAACATCAGCCCCTGGAATAGGGCTTCAATTCCATTTGTAGATAAAGATTCAGATTTTTTCCCTTTTTTTTTTTTTTTTGCAAAGATAATTGGGAATGCAGACACCTAGCTAGTGGTTATAGCAAAAAAAAAAAAAAGAGCTTCTTTAAATTTGGGGGCCAGCGAGACCAATGCCTCAAAAACCGACAGAAGGAAGCTCCCCGGCATCTCGTTCTGCTTCTCTACCGGGCTTCTCCAAAACCTCCCTGGGACCTGCTCTTAGCTGCTGCCATCACCTTCTTCCCATAGCTTGCTCAGAACAGTCGCCTGGGCATGAAGCCAAGGAGTGTGAAGCCAAGAGTGACATCTAAGCGATCCAATACGACCCTCCGAATCTCCCCCCACTTTCTGCAGCCCATCTTCTCGGCATCAACCCAGCTTCACCCGCCTCCCACCCGGTGGACGAGATTTTAGGAGCATTAGACCAGGTGGGGGGCACTCTCCGGGCTTAAGGTTCATCTGGGAACCCCTGGGCGCGCTGACCCCGGGGTGGGGGGCACATGGAAAGGTAGCGGGGACCCCCGTAGGCCCGGAGGAGTTGGGGCAGCCTTCGCCACGTGGACAACAAGCGTGAAGCTGCGAATTCCCGGGCGTGCCCGTCGAAGGCCGCCAGGAGGTCCACGGGGGCGGCCTCGCGAAGTACCTTGGGCAGGGGGCCCACCTCGGCAGCCGCCCCCCCGGGGCCCAGGACGCAGTGGAAGAGAGTCTGGCGTCGCAGCAGGCAGCCCCGGAGGAACTGCACCAGGTCCTCCAGCCGCCCACCCAGGTGCGCCTCCTCCCAGTCGTGGGTGGGAGGCCCCTCTCGCAGCAGCACCGCCAGCAGCGCCGTCTTGAGCACGTAGGACGACAGGATGCGGCCCCACTGGGTGGCAGCTGTGGTGTCCAGCCCGCGGGCGCCCAGGTCTCGCAGAGCTTTGAGCAACTGCAGGCACTTGAGGTAGCAGGCACCGGGGGCGGCCCGTTCCTGCAACCAGCCCAGCAGCTTCTGCTCCTGGCGAGCCGTGTTGACCCCCCACAGGACATCCGAGCGCAGGCCTCCAGGTAGCTCCACCAGGGGCCCGACAGGTGAGGGTGGCGGTGGAGGTGCCACGAGGAAGGCGCCGTCGCCCAGGTGCACCGCGGGGATGAGGCGCACGGCCATGGAGAGGCGGCAGCAGCCGTAATCGGTGCGGCAGGGCAGGATGTGCAGGGTGGGCGGCTGCTCCAGGCCCCCCGGGGTCAGACTGACTCGACAGCGCCCCTCCAGGCTGTAGCGCACGGCGGCCAGGGAGCGCTGCAGGTGCGCCTGGAACCAGCGCAGCACCAGCGCGGCCGAGAGGTGGCGCCGCCCGCGCACGTCCACGCAGAAGCCGTCGGCGAAGGGTTTGCAGTCCCGGAGCCACTGGGCCGCCGCGGGCCCCGGCGGCGCCCTCAGCGCGCACACGAAGCAGCCGTGGAAGGCCGGGGCCAGCGCGGGCTCCCCGCCCAGGCTCCGCGGCTCCAGCGCCACCAGCGGCGGGAGGCGCAGCGGCACCAGCACGTCGAAGCCGTCGGGTCGGCGGATTTTATGCTGCTCGTAGGCGCTGCCCACCTGGATGAAGTCTCCGCGGAAGGCCAGGGCTAGCGACCCCCCGGGGATGGGGCCTGGGGAGCCCCGCGCCCGGCCGGCCCGCACCAGCTCCCCCACGATCCGGCTCACGTGCGCTTTGCTGTGGCCCAGCACGTGCGGCGACAGGCGCACCTCGTGCTCGTAGTAGCTCTCCAGCAGGACGCCGAGGCTCGGCTCGCGGAGGCGTCGGGGCGAGAAGGCGGAGGGGCGCCCCCGGCGGGGAGACCCGGGCAGGAGGCGCTGCCGCACGGCGTGGCGACAGCGCAGGAGGACGTAGCCGAGGACCAGCAGGACGGCCACCTTGAGCAGCGGGAAGCCGCCGTCCGCGCCGTCGGGGGGCTCGGGCCGGGCGCCCCCGCCTCGTCGAAGCACATGGTAGAGGCACACGAGGGCGGTGCACAGGCCGGTCACCAGGGGCCAGAACACGCGCAGGTTGAGGGTGTAGTGCATCGACGTGCCGGGCGCGCGCCGCGGGGGCGGGGGAGCAGCCCAGGGCGCCAGCCCCGCCGGCGCCCCCGAGCCGGCATGCGCGCAGCCCCCGGGCAGCCCCGCCGTCCCGGGCTCCTTGGCTTCCGCTGGGGCTCCCCAATCGCCGGGCCTGGGGGAGCCGCCCGCCAGCTCGGCCTCCTCTCCCAGCTCAAGTTTTCCTTCCAGCTGCCGCCCGCTCTGCCCCGCCGGCCTCCGGGCCGCGCCCTGAGCCCGCGGCGCGCCGCGCCCGGCCCCTCGGCCCCGCGCGCCCCGCGCGTCCGTGCGCTGCCCGCGGCCAGCTTCTGGCTCGCCGCCTACCCTGGCCGGCCCGGCTGCCGCTCGGGCCTCGGGGTCCCCGCCGCTCCCGTCTGCGCTGGTTCCCGTTACTTGGCCCGAGAGCTTCCTCTTCCGAGGGGCGGCGCGGCCGCGCCAGCTAGCGGGGAGGAAATGCCAGAAGTCTGGAGCGGCGCGAGCCGGCGGGCGGGGCCGCCCTCGCCGGGCCTCCGCCTTAAAGCGACGCTGGCGGCGGGAGGGACTTCGGGACGCCCTTGTAACTGGCCTCCGGGGGGCCCCCCCACATCCTTGCGCCCCGAAGGCAGAGCCAGGGAGGGCTGGATTCCAGGGCGGCGCCCGCGGGGGCTGGGCGCACACGGTCACAGCGGGAAGTGGCGGAGGAGAAAAAGGCTCCTGCTGGACCGGCTCTCCCCACCCCGTGGAGGTGGTGACATGGCAGGCCCGGCCCCAAAGGAAGCGGCCCCTCGCGCGCCCCTGTGCTTGACGCAAACCAGTATTTACCCCGAGGACCTACTACGTGTCAGGCGGGAGGCCAGGTGCTGGGGAAATCGTTGGCGAAGTAGACAAGGTTTTTGAGCTTCTTAAAGGTGTTTCTTTTCAAAGAAGGAAAGCAAAAGAGAAAGAATCCCACTGCAGAAGATGCTCTCAAAGAACAAGACTGGGGGGCAGGGGGCGGGAGAAGATGCGGCTGTGGGTGGCCTCCGCGGGCTCGCCGAGGGGTGACTTTGGTCTGAGCTCAGCAAGGAGCACCGGCCTTTACAAAGGACTAACTTGGTGCAGGAACTGTGCTGATCGCTGCACAAAGTCACTCCTCCTTTAATTCTTTGACAGGGACACTATTACTTCCCCCATTTTTTCAGATGAGGAACTGGGGCAGTGCGGTTTGAGCTGCTCCCCAAGGTCACAGAGCTTTAGCAGAACCTGCTCTTGAACTCAGGCATCTGGTTCCAGAAAAATGAGGGGGCAGGACTCTGAGAGGGGCATCAGAGTCCCTTCCTCCACTGTTGGAATTTTCTGGGTGCCCTGTCAGGACCTATAGGTCGGGATCTCAGTTCTGGGGGGCTCTTCAGAGAGCATGCCCTGAATCATCTGGGTTTATTTCATGATCTGGATTTCCTTAAATAACTGTCTTTATTCATTTACACTCATTGCACCTTCCCTGATCTCCCTCCCCCCACCCCCCGCGCCCCTTAAGGAGAGCCAGGATAAATGCATTAAAAATATCAGGACCTCACTGGCACCAGCAAGTCAGGTTTCAGAGGATGGCTCCTGGGCACTGAGATTTCTCCGGGATAATCCTGGGTTGAGCCTCTTTGAGCGGATCCCGTCTCTACTGCTAATGGCTACGAGACCAGGTCTACTCGTCAGGATTCTCAGGGTGGCGGGTGACAGCAACTCAGGTCAGTGGACTGTAGTGGCTGTGCTAGCGGCGCTGTCCTGGGGATCCTACGTCAGCACAGCGCGACCCGGCCCCTTCATCCGCTTCTGTCTGCTCTCTTCTAGGTTGGCACACTCCACCCCCGAGTGCCCCTGGTGCCCCTCGCCTCACTTTGTCCTCAGAGCAGAGGACAGCAGAGTTTCACTTGTCTGAGCTGTGCAGCAAATGCCAAGCCTCTGGGTAGACTCAGGCCACGTGTTAAAAGCCACCAAGTAAGAGAATGCACTGACTGGCCTGCGGTGGGGCCATGGGCTGAACTGTAGCCCCTCGAAATTCATATGTTGAGGCCCTAGCCACCTTGAATATCACTGTGTAGGGTAAGGTAAAAGGTATCAGGCTTTTCTGCCCTCCCGCCATCAGGATAGATGAGGGAGCCCTGGGATCCTGAATGCATGCCTGATGGTGGGTACCTGGAGTGGGTACACCTGTGCTAAGACTGTGCTTTTAAGGGCGGTGTCACAGGGACGCCAGGAGAAGCAGCAGCAGTAGAAGCCGAAAGAGAAGAAGCCCGAAGCAGAAGCAGAGAACGCCAGAGAGCCCAGATAGAGTGAAGGCTTGCTGGGGGGCTGGGAGGCTGTTAGGCCTCCCAGCCCCCCAGCCAGCACCCCTGCCTGCCATATGCCTGGTGAACCCCAATAAAAAACCTGCAAAACCACTGAGGACTCTGACTCCTCCTTTACCCGGTCTGCATGGGATCAGAAAACCTGCACTGGTCCAGTCCTGCCCTCTACACACTGCGTGGGGCGACTCACACACACTCTTCTTATCCACAGGTTCTGCACTCATGGATTCAGTCGACTATGATGTCTGTTGATTGACTCTGCAGAGACAGAACTCGCAGGCACAGAGGGCTGACTCGTCGGGTCTGGGTTTCACAGGGATCCTGAAATCAACCCCCTGCAGATACCAAGGGACAACTTAGTTAAATTTGGGGGGCCTTAGAAGTTCTGCTGGGATTTTCAACTCATCGGGGGGTGGGTGCCTCTACCGCCCTTGTAGCTTGAGAATCAACTGTATTTAGAAACTGCTTTTAGGAGGGAACTGAGGTTAAGCAAGGCCTGAAGGAGGGGGCCCTCATCCAATGGCACGGGTTGCCCTGTGGGAAGAGGACGCGAAGGCTCTCCAAGGGCAGGCACCAAGAGAAGCCTGGAGAGGACACAGCCGAAGACCACAGTCTGCAAACCAGGAGGGGCTCTCCTGGGAACCCTAACCCTGCCACACCTTGACTGCGCACTCTCCGACCTCCGGGAGTGGAGAATGAGTTTCCATGGTTTAAGCACCCCCACCTGTGCTGTCCGATGCAGCCCAAGCGAACACAACCGTGTACTCAACCTTGCAACCAGAAGGTGGGGTCAGCCTGCCTGTACCATGGTGACTGGGGTGAGGGGGTACCCCCAAGGAGGGACACAGAGTGGTGCTGGAGAAGGGGGTGGGAGTCTTGGCGTGGACTTGTCTCTTCGCCTTGCGTTGCGCCACTCTCCCCTTCTATAATGATGTCAACCTGACAGGTGACTTTTTCCTCCCTAGCACACGTGGTGGCACACCATGGCCCGTTGTGCAGGTAGCAGCGATACTCTCCATCAGAGGTCGGCAGACATTTTTTGTCAGTATTTTAGCCTCATGGGCCATACGACCTCGGCTCCAACCACTGGGCTCTGCTCTTGAAGCCCAAAGCAGTTGCCATTTCTGGGGCTGCTGTGCACTAGGTGGCCTAAGACAACAGGACTCCACGCTCCCCCAGTTCTCAAGGGCAAGAGGGCGGTGCTCCCTCCCGAGGCTCTGGGAGAATCCTTCCTGGCCTCCTCTGGCTTCCAGTGCTCCAGGCCTTTTTTGGCTGGTGGCCACATCACCCTCATCTCTGCCTGTTTCCATGTGACCTCGTCCCCTATGTCCGCATCTTCTGCTCTGTCCCCCCCGAAGGATCACCTGGGTAGTACCTATGATCTCCCCTGGAGAACCTTAACTTGATTGCATCTGCAAAGACCCTTTTTTCAAGTAAGGTCCCATTCACAGGTTCCCGGGACTGGGGCAGGGGCACACTTTGGGCGGCCACAATGCACCCCATTACACCGAGTAAATGATGTATCACCAAGTGAGATGTGTCACTCTCGCTGTTCTTCCTGCCTGCCATCGGTTTCCACAGCTCCCTTCGTCCAAGGGATTCAAGGTACAGGTCTCAGAACCCCGCACTTGAAATATCTACAGTCTATCAGAGAAAGTGCAAAAATCCTAGCATGCCAGGCAGAGGAGACTGTGAAGAACTAGGGGTGCTTGGAGCTTACAGTCTACACAGGCTGGGTGGATTCAGGAAAGCACTGCTGTTTGGCCGACTCTGGATAATCATTAAAAATCTCCTTTAGTGTTGAATATTTGACAGGCTACGCCTGGTTTATTTCTTCCCCATAGTTCAGCAAATATAAACACACAGCCCTGCCAACATCTCTGATATCCCAGAGGTGTGGTGTATGCAGCAGGAGCAGAAACTGATGAGAGAAGAGAAAGTAGAGGGGGCTCGTTTCTCACCTGACACGATCAGGTTATAGAGGGTGGGAAATGACAGCGCCCTAGTGAATTCATCAGACCCTAGGAGGGTCATGTTGGAACTTCCTATCTGCAGCTGGTCAGCTGCAGCACAGTTGACAACCTGGGCTTTTTACTGGCATCTGAAGTCAGGGGCAGGGGACCGGCAGTCTGGTAAGACAGAGGCCTTACGCGTGGGGCCCTTATGCTGTACCTGGGTAGAGAGTTGTCAGAATTGAGTTGAATTGTGGGTCACCCAGCTGGTGTGGGAGAATGGCTTGGTGGTGTAGGGAAACTTCCCTTCACTTGTTAGATTGGTCCTGGAATCACATGACCCCAGGGAACAGTAAGGGAGGCTGGGAAATGTTGTCATTCTCCTAGAAACCTCCTGCTAAAAAGTGTTTTATTACCGTGGAAAGAAAGCAAATAAATATTAGGGGACAACCATCAGCCTTTACCATGGTAGGCAGCCAGCAGAGCTGCCCCATGAGCTCTTGTGGATCAGTGCTAGCCTAATTGTGAGTCATTGCTTGTGTGATTACTAATTAAATGTTTGTATTTCTAAATATATTGTAAGTCGTGTGTGTGAGCAGAGACCATGTTTGTCTTGCATACTTGCTCAATTCCTAATTTAAAATTGACTGAATGAATGAAAGAATGAATGTCTTGTAGTCCAGCAAAGTAGCCCTACATTGACAAAGAGCTTTTCACCAGAAAATGTTCTTCCTGCAAAACCCCTTTTATATAACAGTC